AAAAAGTGCAGTTTTGATATTGATTAATGGGAGTAGTCTCAAAAAAAGCAGAAATGAGTTACTCTTTGTAAAACCTTATATGTTTGTAAGATGCAGATGCTCAGTGTTTAATTCATAAGATGTATTCTCTGTTACTCTTTACTTTTAAATGCCAATAGTGGCAGGTTTTATGGAGATGTAGGTAGGAAATATTGCGTAAGATAAACATTAGAAAAATAGTCCTACACCCGCAATATTTCTTACAGCTCTAATGATGCTTTATTCTGGGCACCCTCAATCAGCCTAGTTCCTGAGTCAATAGGCATTAAATAAAATGTTTTTCTTGAAAATTAAAAAAAACAAGCAGCTATGTTTCAGAAGCTGAGCATGGCAGTAAATTAATATCCACTTCCTTTTTACAGAAAATACGCAAGTCATTGGAATGAGTGCAACTTTAAATAATGTTGGGGACCTGCAGAAGTTCTTGCAAGCAGATTACTATACCAATAACTTTAGACCGGTCTGTACACAAGCTACCATAAACTAGTAAATAACATTTTTGACATTAAAATTAAAGCAGTTTTGTTAAGATTGTGTTAGTTTTTGTTACTTTCTGTGTTTAGTATTAAAAATCAGGTAATATAACGCTTGTTACAGTTTACAGTTGTATTAATACTTTTGCTATACATTTGAGTACATTGTGTATACTTATGCATGCACAAATGTAAATAACTTTATCTTCCTGTGATTACTGTAGAGTGATTTGTGTCATTTTAACTAAACCTAAGTTTTTGAATCATTACAGTTTTTGTGCTCTAGTTTGTAAGGCCTTTGTATTTAAAGAGGTGCTTATTTTGTTGTGGCAGATATTTAGTATTATTAATGTTTAAAAAAGAAACTATTGATGGGGGAATGCGTACTTGTGTGTATGCATGTGTATCTGTAAGCATGAGGTGTAATGCTTTAAAGAGACATTTAAACTGCTTAGTAATAAAGTTTGCAGAGGAGATTTGCTAATTCAGCTCATATTTTACTGCTTCCTTTGTTAATCCACTAAGGTAGAGTTAAAGGAATACATAAAAATACGAGATACTATTTATGAAGTTGACAGCAAAGCAGAACATGGCTTTACTTTTTCACGTCTCCTTCATTTCAAGGTAATAACAAAGTGTTTAGAGCTTTTGTCTTTGAACTGCTTTTATAAAATTATGTTTCTCTTTGGTTTGCTTGCAGGGCTTTTACAACACAAATTACTGTAGCACAGTAGTTTGTTTGTAGTACTTGAAAGAGAAACTCTTTGGGGAGGGAGGAACCTTTAAAACACCAAATGCTTAAGTTTTTTCTGCCTTTTTTTTTTTTTCCTTTTTGAGTAGAGAGAATACTTTCTCCCATTTTTCTGGCATGTGAAGAAAATTAGGCTTGAATGTGTCAGTTACCTGTTTGCTAAAGGTCATTGGTTAGGTTTTTCTGAGCAGTTAATCATTCCTAGATCATAAAAGGAGATATATTTATCAATTTTTGACTGTATTCTAGATATTTATTTTAGTCTTATATGGAAAAAGAAGTGAATAATGATAGACCGCCAGTAGCAGGGGACATGACTGGGGTTGCTAAGTGAAACTTGAGCAAGAAGGAAATAATTAGAACGTGATTATTGCTTCCCTGTGTTCCACACTTGAGGCTGGATCTGTTGATACACTGATTTTTAAGTGAGAAACTGAATAGAGAAGCTTATCTTAAATTCTTACAGTTATGTCATGTTAAATTACTGGACTAGTGAAGCAGAGAAATATTAAATGAATGCTGGCTTTATGACTTATGAAGATAAATAAACATATCTCCATCTTTTGTGATAGTATTCTAGTAATCTGGAGAAAGCAGACCCTGACCATATTATTGCACTGGTGACTGAAGTTATTCCAAAATACTCCTGCCTAATCTTTTGTCCCACTAAAAAGAACTGTGAGAATGTGGCATCAATGGTGTGCAAGTATCTGAACAAGTACGTGTGTCTCATTTTCTTAATTCTCTACAGAGTATATTGTCAGAATTTAGGATTTACCTTTGTTAGCAAGAAAATGACCTTCCCTGGTGGTGAGAAATGAATACTTGAGTGAATACAAAAAGATGCAGCATTGACTATGTAAATTGTTGGAAAATGGTCAAGGATTTTTACAAAATGTGTTTCCAAAACAGTTTGTATTTTTGAAGAAATGTGCAAATAACAAGCACACCGAAAGCCATGCGAAGAGCCAGTCTGTTTAATTTATGTTCTGATGGCCTTGTTCTCTACAGGTCCCTTAATGCTTTTTCTGTATCACAACTGATTCAGTATTGTAGCCATATATATCCTAGTCTATTCATTATCTTTTTGTACATTGTACATGCCCAGAGTATGTAACCTCCAGGCTTTATTAACAAAGGAAAAATGTAATGATTGATTTCATTTATGAAAACTTTTGTTTGGCTTTATGTAAGCCTGATGCAATAAGCTTATGGGCTAATGGGTTAAGTTGTATTCAAGACATTATATTAAAGTAATAATTTTCCTTCACTGCCAAAATTGAAGCCATCTTTGATACTTCTATAAGCTTAACTTGCAGCTGGTGTTTGCCTTTTTTTCATTGGGCTTGATACCTGTATCTACTTCCATTTATATCCAGTAAGGAAACAGTTCTAATATTGGGAACTTATCTTGTGTGTTACAGAAATAGCCAGTAAGCATTTATTTCTTGTCCTTTAAGTCTTACTGAATGATCAATGTCTAAAGCAATGTGCTTCCTCCTCCAAGAGATTTTACAGCTCACAGGGAGAAAGAAAAGCAAGATCTCATAAAGAACCTAAAGACTATTGGAAATGGAAGCATCTGTCCTGTTCTGAAGCAAACCATTCCTTTTGGTGTTGCCTATCATCACAGTGGCCTTACTAATGATGAAAGAAAAAGTATAGAGGAGGCTTATTCTGCAGGGGTCCTTTGTCTTCTTGCTTGCACAGCAACTCTAGCTGCTGGGGTCAACTTACCAGCTAGAAGGTCAGTTACTCAGAAATGCTTTTTGTGGTTTCCTTAAATCTTGCATTGTTCAAGTTGGAAGTATCAGTGCTGTTTAAAGAATGCATTTGCTTTCATTACTGAATTGCAGGGCAAAATGATTCGTTAATTTCTAAGCTGAACTAAGACAGCAAAGTTTCTATTTATGGAATCTGAATCAGTAGAAAGCCCATATTATTTGTCATACCTGTCTTAATTGTGTCTGCCATACTCCATATGACCTGCGCCTGGATGCTCATAGTCCAGTTCTACATATGTATGTTTAGGTCTGAGAGGAAGAAGTGACCACCACTGCTCTGTGTTCAATCTTGCCTTTGTTTTTCAGTAGGATTTATTCTGTATTTTTGCTTCTCACTTTCTCTCTTTTTTTAACAGAGTTATTTTAAGAGCTCCTTATGTGGCTAGAGAGTTCCTGAAGAAGAATCAATACAAACAAATGATTGGCAGAGCAGGTCGAGCTGGTATTGACAGTGCTGGTGAAAGTATTCTCATAGCACAAGAAAAAGACAAACAACTGGTAATTTTTACTGAACTGATGATTTCAGTCACTGTAAGATGATGAAAATAAGCTGATGGGGAAGACAGATGGAGCTGAGCTGCTTAATTTTGGTAGACCTTCTATTGCAAGTATTTGACTTCTGTTATACCTGTGAATTACAGGATTTTTCCTCATTACTTTTGTTATCTGCAGTGTAAGGTTTCAGTCATTAACCGTAAATTTTAGATGTCTGTAGTTTTTCTGTATAAGCCAAAAAGTTGAATATCAGCACTATAAAATGACAAAGCAAACCTTTCGTGTATATGAAGTATTTTCTCTGAATTAACATATTTCTTTCCTTGTAGGTTCAAGATTTAATTAGCAGCCCTTTGGAGGACTGTTACAGCAATCTTCTGCCAGAGTTCAATAAGGGAATACAGAGCCTGTTGTTATCTTTGGTTGGATTGAAGGTATCAGGGTTTTTTTGTTGTTGTTGTTTTTTCTGTAAATTGAGAAGCATTTGAGAATGTAAAGGGATTCTTACCTGTTTTTATAGTAAAAGCAATTTTTTTTCAGCAGCTTAACTTCCAAGAAGTTCATCTGGCTTTTGGGCACATGAGCAGGACAAAGTTGATTAGTATTCTTACCTAATTTGGTTATCAAATAATGCTGTAATACTACACTTTCTAGTGTGAGCAAGGCCAAAATTATATCTCCTTCTTGATAAGCATTTTTACATTATTCCATTTTTGTTACAAAAATTTAATTTGTTCAAAAATTTAGGACTACCAAGAAGCAACAGTAGAGCATGATGCAATAGCTGGAATATTAGGAAAGATGAAAATATAAGTCCACCAGAGCCTTCATAGTTAGACTGTCTACTGTGTGTTTGTTATCATGTCATTCTATAAAGACAGTTAACAGGATAAAGCAATGTCTCTGTATTCAGTAAATTTGTGTGGTTTATATAGTTCATGTTATGCATAATGACATTTGCCTATCTTGACCACACTAATCGCTTGCAAAACTGCTATAGATTGCAGTAACCCTTGAGGAAATCTACAGTTTCATGTGCCGTACATTGCTGGGTGTTCAGCAGCAGCTGCTGTCTAAAGAGAAGAGCCTCTTGGATATAATTAAAGAAGGGGTAGAAAATCTGATAGAAAACGGACTCCTAAAAGGAAAATTATCTGAAAAGGACAGTAATTCCCAAACCATGCTAACAATCACACGATTGGGTAAAGCTACGTATAAAGGTAAGATATTTTTTCATTCTTATCCTTTTTTTTTCATTTATTTCAACAAAGCCTTTCATCTCCATCTGGTTGGTATGGTTCCTCATCTTCTGAAACTGCAATGAAAAATGTATTTAGTGCCTGTTTTAATTATTAAATGATGTGATGCCCTGAATAACATTGGGAGTAGACAATAAACAATCAATGACTGTGAATACAGTGGGAGTGAGTTGGAATTTCCATGACAAGGGAAGTCAGACCAGGTCTGTACCAAAAATAGGATTCAATTCTTTGGTTATTACAGTAAAAAGTGATCTGTTTTTATGAAAAGATATTGTAAATAGTGGAGTTCCTTTTCCTAGGAAGAAAGTAAACGGGAAAGGAAGTATATGAAATGTAGGCCAGATATGATCCAGAGTGAAGACAGTACATCAGGAACTTCTGCTTTCTGGTCTCGTAAGATAAAGATATGGGGCATAGAAGGTAATTGGAATAGGTCATCCAAATATCTGAAAAGTTTATAAGAGAATCTACAATTCAGTTTTGGAGCATGTTGCTCAAGAAGTTCCAAGTTGGCAAATTGATCAAAGTTCAAAAAATGCCCACAAACTTGACATGTATGTGTGCAAGTCAGTGGCTACCCTCTCAGTTTCGCTATATCAACTTACTCTAATCACAACAATTATTCATCTTTCAGTTCTTCCTTTAAGTTTCGATGGGTTAAAAATGCTGTGCATAGTGCTAGTAGATGCTTTTGGATGACCCATACACAGGCCTCCAAATCCCTGAGCATAAACTTTATTTTATCAGGAGTGTAGAGTTAGGTAGGCCTAGTGGGCGCTCAGTTTGGAGAGAAATAACCCCTATGACCAACCTATGCGTGCTGAGACGTTGAGAGGACATGCCCAATCTTGTCTTTGTTACCAAAAGGCTTTTAGGTAGAATTTGAAATGCATGACTAATGTTTTCCAGAAAACAGAAACCAATCTGTGCCCGTGTTGAAATGTATTTATCGACTGTATATCTGGTGACTTTGTGGATACCTGATTAAAATTGTGATAACTATTGTAGGATCCATAGACCTGGCACACTGCAATGCTCTCTACAGAGAACTGAAGAAAGGCTTGGAAGGCCTCGTTCTTGAGAGCAATCTTCATCTTCTCTATTTGGCAACTCCATACGATATGATTGATAACTGTAACCCGGACTGGATGATATACTTGAGACTGGTGAGAACTGGCTTTCAGACATGGATCAGGGCATATATTCATTTTGCTCATTAACATTTTAAATTATAGGAAATGCATCCACTGTGGTAATGGTTCATAAAGGTTATGGTATATGTTTTATTTTGGGTCTTACAGCTGAAGTGGCTTTTTTCATATTTCATAAACACCTAATAGATGACATATCATGGCATGATTTTTAATAGAAAACAATACTTTGGCTGTAATTCATCTTTTTCAGTTCAACCAGCTAAGTCCAGCAGAGCAAAGAATAGCAGATATTGTCGGGGTACCTGAAAGTTTTATTACAAAAAAGGCTTCTGGACAAGCCATCAGAAAGGTAGGCTAAGAGCTTATTCTCACAAGAAAGCAATTTAATCTTTTAATTTGAATGTTTAGAAATGTTAAGTAGGTTTTCCATTAGCATTTTGAGCATTATAACTGTTCTTTCAATAATTAAGGTTCTTTTAACCTCATTCCTTAGGTTTTCTTAATGTCATGTAATATGTTTGAGATGTAACATGTTTGTGTATATGTGTAAAAAAGCTGCTGCATTATCAGACCATCTGGGATTTTGTGAGCTTTAAATTCTAACCTGGAATTTCTTCCTAGAATGTGGACAGTGCAGTTATAAACAGGCTCTACCTGTCATTCGTCCTTTATACCCTGCTGAAGGAGACCAATGTGTGGAATGTTTCAGAGAAATTTAGTATGTCTCGAGGATATGTGCAAAGCCTCCTTACGTCTGCTGCTTCCTTTGCCTCTTGTGTTCTACATTTCTGTGAGGTACTCTTAAATTCATCTAAACACCTTCTTCGGGATTTTTGTTCTGCAAAACAGTGAATATTTTTTCTGCTATGGCGTATTAGAGCTTAGAACAGGTGCTGTATTTCCCATTTTCTGTGCAAAACAGTGCATATTTCCTGTTCAGAAAAGCATGGCAAAACACAAAATGGTTTTCATTTGCAGAGCATTAATCAATGTCAGAACATGCTGTAAATGACGCAAATGATGGAAGTTTCTGTTTATTTCTCTTTGAAATAAGCTCTAGTGCTGAAATATTGTTCTGGGAGAACAGCTTCCTCAGCTTTTTTTTTCCTCATTTCTTTTTTTTAATTTATTGCTACTCCTTCAGCACTGTCTCAACTTTGGAATGAGGGTCACTACAGATAACAGCTTCTCCTGTTATCCTACCAAATATATGCTCATTGCCTTAGAGCTCTGTCAGTAGTAGAGTACAGACCTGAAACTCAGTTTCTTTAATACTGCATTGCCTTAGAGCTCTGTCAGTAGTAGTTAAGAGTACAGACCTGGAACTCAGTTTCTTTAATACTGTTTTTTTTTTTCTATTTTTGAATCTCTTTTCAGGAATTGGAGGAGTTTTGGGTTTATAAAGCCCTGTTGACAGAACTTACCAAACAGCTGACGTATTGTGTTAAGGCAGAGCTCATCCCTCTGATGGAAGTAGCAGGCGTTCTAGAGGTCAGTAAACCTGGTTTTCTCTTCATGAGCTCTTACATAGCAACTTCTGCATTAAACATACTGCTGCTACACACTCCACCAAAAAAACAGAATCCAAGTCACTTCAGCATTAAGATTTCTTCACTCTCTGTGGGATCAAAGAGGAATGAGACTTACTGTTTAAGCTAGAAGACTCGCAGATATGGGATGTATTCGGAACTTGCATTTTTGCAATAATTTTTGTGATGTTCTTTGCCTTCTAAATAAGAAATTAATCCAAACTGTGAGGTAAAGACTCCTATTCAAATATAAAATGGAAACTGTGGTTACAAGAGTGCAGGAGAAATTTGTTCATTTTCCCTTTTCTTGAAAATAGTGTTCAGAGAGCTACCTAAAACCATTTCATGGGATGAAAGTCACTAGTGTGGATATCATTTGGGCCATCAGATACACTGTGCACATAGTAACAGGGAAATAAAGCACAGAAAGTATTTGCTGGCAGTTATTCTTTGGTCATAATAATGTGACTGCTTCCCATAATTGAATGTTTCTGGTTCTCACATACCTTGGAGAGTAATGCATTTTCTTGGATGCTATATCAAAATAAAAGGGCCTAGGTAGTTGTCATCAAATACATTTTTTTTTTTTGTCTTTAAAGAGAAGAGGGGAAAAAGTCAAGGTAGTAAGATGACCAAACACTTTGTTAGTTTATAACTCAGCATACAAAAGTTTATACCAAAATATGTGTTCTGTGACTGGACTAGAAGTGCATTTTTATTTAAATTTTGTAAAGATCTCGCACTACTTGTTATGGAAAGAAAATTTTCTCCAGAAACTTTCTTTGCTTAGCAAATACTTTAGGGGCTGCTTTGCCTCCTTTCTTCACAACAGGACCAACCCAAGTAAAAAGAAGCAGATAAAACTCCCTAATGGTCATGATCTTTCAATTCCAGAGACTCCATCCTGCATATGAGAGTTCACAGCTGTAACTTGACACAGACTGCAGAAGTATCAAAAATTGTGTAACTCATAGCACTAAAGGGAAAAACTGTTACAGTAGTCTTAAACAGGAAAGTGTGGTTTTTTCTTGACTTCTATGGAAGCTTATACAACTACTCAATTACAGAAAATTGAATAGATTTTTCAGACTAAAACAACCCTTATTTATTTAGATACCTCTGAAAATGTAGCATGGTCATTCCTGGCAGTGATAGCGAATGCAATAAGGAAGCTGGTAAGAAAAGAGGATGCTGGAATAAGTGGACTCTGAAAAATAAGAAATGTTATTAGGCTGTTTAAGACTGTGTA